CTATATCATTTACATTACACCAGAAACTATAACATTTACATTACACCATATACTTAATCATTTAAATTACACAAGATACTTTTTCATTTGCATTACACAAGATATTATTTCATTTACATCACACCATATATTTAAGAAATAATATATCCCAAGCTGTGATTTTATCGCTCAATAGCATCACTGTTTGGAGTTCGGATGCGAGGAATTATATCACAAGGGCGTAGCCCGAGTGATATAATGATGCGCATCCGAACGACAAACAGTGATGTTATCCAGCGATAAAATCACCGATTTGGATATATCATTTCGATTCTAACACGACATCAACAAATAAATGCTGCCGTACTTGATAATTAGCAAAATTGCGCCTGATTTGTTTCCGTACTTATTGTCAGCGCGTCGGATTTTATAGTGGTTACGTCACGTGTATAATGATTACGTCACATGTCTAAATATAGAACGTCAAACAGTGATTTAATAGCATAATAACACACACTTTCGGTTCTTCTATGTTCAATAGGGAAGATTGCGGGTCGTGTTAGAATATACCATTTACATCACACCATATACTATCATTTACATCACACCATATACTTTATCATCTTCATTACTAAAGATACTATTTTATTTACATTACAAAATATATTATATTATTTACATCACACCATATACTTTATCAATTAAATAACACCAGATACTATATCATTTACATTACACAAAATACTATATTATTTACAACACACCATATACTATATCATTTACATCACACCAGATACTATTTCATTTACAACACACCACATACTATATCACTTACATCATACCAGATACTATATCATTTACATCACATCAGATACTATTTCGTTTACATCACACCAGATAGATCTACTATATCATTTACATCACATCAGATACTATTTCGTTTACATCACACCATATACTATATCATTTACATCACGCCAGATAATATATCATTTACATCACAGCAGATACTATATCATTTACATCACACCATATTCCTTATCATTTACATTACACAAGATACTATTTCGTTTATATTACACAAGATATTATATCATTTACATCACGCCAAATACTATATCATTTACATAACACCATATACTATATCATTTACATCACATCAGATACTATATCATTTACATCACATCAGATACTATATCATTTACATCACATCAGATACTATATCATTTACATCACATCAGATACTTTATCATTTACATCATACAATATAATTTATCATTTACATCACACAATATTCCTTACCATTTACATTACACAAGATACTATTTCGTTTATATTACACAATATATTATATCATTTACATTACACCATATACTATATCATTTACATCACGCCAGATAATATATCATTTACATCACATCAGATACTATATCATTTACATCACATCAGATACTATATCATTTACATCACATCAGATACTTTATCATTTACATCACATCAGATACTTTATCATTTACATCACACCATATACTTTATCATTTACATCACACCATATTCCTTATCATTTACATTACACAAGATACTATTTCGTTTATATTACACAAGATACTATATCATTTACATCACACCAGATACTTATCATTTTACATCACACCATATACTATATCATTTACATCACGCCAGATAATATATCATTTACATCACATCAGATACTATATCATTTACATCTCACCAGATACTATATCATTTACATCACACAATATTCCTTATCATTTACATTACACAAGATACTATTTCGTTTATATTACACAAGATATTATATCATTTACATTACACCATATACTATATCATTTACATTACATCATACTACTATATCATTTACATCGCACTAAATACTATATCATTTTACATTACACAAGATATTATTTCATTTACATCACATCAGATACTATATCATTTACATCACACCATATACTTTATCATTTACAGTACACAAGATACTATTTCATTTACATTACACAAGATAATGTTTCATTTTCATCACATCAGATACTATATCATTTACATCACACCATATACTTCATCATTTACATCACACAAGATACTATATCATTTACATCACACCAGATATTTTATCATTTACATCACACCAGATATTATATCATTTACATCACGCCAAATACTATATTATTTACATCACACCATATACTATATCAATAACATCACACAAAAATATATACTCTACATTACTCATTTGGATTGATCAACATTCAATTGTCACATTTTTCTTTGATATATCAAGGATTGAATGCAAGCAAAGAAAGGAGGAGTCCGAACACCGGTTTCAGGAAAGAGTTCGACTCACTATCAGATATAGACAGGCAGACGCAGAAAGGAATAGGAGCCGCATGTCGTCTGAAAGAGCCATCATTAGCCGGATGTCAACCAGAGCAAGAAGCTCACTGGCTGTTTCCTCCTCCTCAGAGTCTGTCGACGAGGGCAATAAGAACGCCCTCAAGGTCGGCAGCTCTCACTAAATTTTAAACCGGCCAACACTCCCTATAAAAAGTAGGCCCATACATTTTGCTATTGTCGCGTGATAGGCAGTTTTTTTCCAAAAAGACTACAAAATTAAACAATTTAATCTCCTTTTACCAGATCATTTTTCATTTTTTAATGTAAAACTTCTTTTTTGACATTTTTTTATATATTCGTTTTCAGCCTTTACGTTTGTGATACTTCTATACGAATTTTAAATCATATTGTTTGTAGCATATGTCCATTGCCAATTTATTCATTGTCAATTTTTTAGTTTGATTTTACTTTCTTTATTTTCAAATTTCTGTTTTTGGAAAACAAAGGTTAAAATCATTTCGCCAGTGGTCTTGATAAATTTTCAAATTATCAAATTCTGTGAAATTTCAACACAATTGTTATATTTTCAGCACTATTTTCAGAGACAATACATTTTCGATATATTATTTTATCTAAATGATTTACTTTACTTTACTTTATTAGAAATTACATCTTTGTTTTAAAATCTTTTTAACAACCTGACCGTGATCTGCCTTGAACAAAAAAAAAATACATAAAACCACGAAAATGAGTATCAAATCTACATTTTGACCTTGATTTATCAACGTCAAGTATGATGATACTTACCAAAAAATCTCATCTCATTTTATCATCCAATCATTCATGTATTCATCTAAAAACCCCAAGAAACAAGGCATTGGTCGTACCGTTTAAAAAAACTCTAAACTTTTAAAAATGCATTTCTTGTCATACCATATGTGTACATTTCAATCACCAATTTGTTAAATTTTCTAAGTTTCATTCATTTTTCTTTTTAACATCTGGTTAGTCATAAAGCGCACCTAGATCATTAAGTATATTTTTGGACATTCTCTTTTTAGCAACAAGGAAATATTTGCGGCTTACACTATACATACTATCTAAACTGTTTGTTTTTTTGTACATTAAAGTTTAAATTTACACTTTTTTGATAATTCATCATAATAATATTATGTGAACAACCTGACCGTGATGGCTATCATCTGCCTTGAACAAAAAAATACATAAAACCACGAAAACAAGTATCAAATCTACACCTTGACTTTGATTTATCAACGTCAAGTATGATGATACTTACCAAAAAAATTTCATCTCATTTTATCATCCAATCATTCATGTATTCATCATTACCCCCCCCCCCCCAGAAAAAAAAAACAAAAAAACAAGGCATTGGTCACTTACTTACAGTTATAAGAAAACTTGATTTTTTTTAAAATACATTTCTTAACATACCCTACGTGTACATTACAATCCCTGTTTTTTAGTTTCTATTATTTTATTTTTGAAATCTGGCTTGTAAGTAAACTTAAATCATTAAGTATATTTTTGGACATTATCATCTTAGCAACAAGGAAATATTGATGATTTACAATATACATAATATTTAAACTGATTTTTTAAACAAATAATTTTACACATTTTTGATAATTCATCATTATTATGTTAGAGCAATAACTTTTTTTCATTTGTATTAACAGTTAAAAAACAATATGGTTATAAATATCATTAATATATAATTATAAGTTTAATTTATAAATTATTTAATGACTATTCACGTGACATGGCTCCGAAATTTTAAGACATAAAGACCCTTTGGCCTGTCGTTATAGGGATGTTGGCGGTTTTGGTTTTTGGCATTTTGCATTTGTTTCAAATCTTTCAAAACTTCCCTCTCAACATTGCACATTTGATATTAAGACTTAAAATAGGCATACCAGTAAAATAAATACATTTACAGTTTATTTTACACATTCTCCTTATACTTGCATAAACAAATAAAAACAATTTTGGATCACAAAGCATACTGCACTTGTTGTTGTTGTTTTACTACCATTTTAACTTCTCAGTAATATAAATCATTCTATCAAGTAATCGAGAAATCACAGATCAGAGACGCTTTGTCAAAATTATAAATGTTTATCAGGATTCAATTCTTAGTGTGTTGATATTATTAAACATTTACCAATTTAATAGTTCTAAATGAATTTATACCTTAATTGTATCATAGATTGGGGACCTTTCTGTTGAAAATGCGTCAGAGCTAAATCGTATACATATACATGCCCATGCGTTAGCTGGTATTAGTTACCCCCACACCATAGCATGCCCATTGAATGGCTCATTTTTTGTTTGGGTTTTACTTGTAGTGATGACAGAGAAAGAAAAAATGATAGAAATATCATATTCAGGTGTTCGTTCATTGGGGTTTCATATTGTGACAATAGGGAACGTGGTTTTATGTTTGACTATGATACAAAAGAGAATATAGCACGACCTTGCAAACTGATCATAATCTGCACTGTTTGTTATTGTCACTCAGGACATATTTTGAAAACAATATAAATGGTATTGTCTAGATTGAAAAATACAGTCGTGTCCATTTTAGAAATTAAGCGGGGTAATGTTTAAAACTTTTATTCATTATTGTAATAATTAATGTCATTTACCTGCTTCAAAGCAGCTGTCTTTGCGGTGGTCATTTGTGGTAGTATTACACGGCAGTTCGGAACCACGTGACGAGTTTGGGAGTAATTCATTGGTACTCTGCTCTAAAAGTCCTTTAAAATAAAACATATATTGTCCTATAATTATATATATTGCCCAATCGTAAAGTATACTACGATGCTTGATGATGCTTACTAAAGTTTTAAAGGGTGTTAACGGCGTATGCCAGGGCTATACTAGTATTCGAATATAGACATATACTCATCAGATTTAAAAGTACAAAAAAATTATATAAACATTTTACTAATCTGTAGCTGTCGTGGTGCCAAGTTCTGTCTTATACCACACATTGTCGTTAGTTCCGACAAACTGGTTCAAAAATAATAAATACAATTTGCTAGGAATTGTTTCAAATCTTAGCTTAAATAAATCTGATAAAAACTGGACAAATGCTAAAAATATTGGACTTGGCATAAATACCACCAATAAATGTCCGGAGGGTATGCTCTTCCTCTTGGCTTGAGCCATAAACCTTTCTTGCATCCAGATATGACGTAATCTCGTTAATCTGGTTCTCCACTTCACTATCTTCATAGTTAAAATAGAAGAAAAAACATACATGTATTTATGTATAGTTCAACAATTATTCAAAATATATGGTGGCGTATTTAAAACACTTTAGTGCGTCGTGCTAGCGACAGCACGGTAAAGCGCCAACGGCGCTTTGCGGATTTCGTCTTGTTGTCCTGTCGCTAACGATGTACGCCAAACGTCACATTGTCACTTGCCTTAAATCGAAAAATTGGCTATTTGTATATATATATAACGACATTGCTTTAACGCGCCGCACGACAACGCTCCGTTTGACGTGCTTCGCTAGTGGCAGAACGACAAGACGACAGTGCGACAACACGCCATTCGGTGCGTTTTGCCAGCGACAAGACAAGACGAAAAGGCAACAACGATATAGGTTGTGTTGTTGCTATCGACAACGCAACGCGTTAAGTGTATCATATCAGCCACCATAAAAATATGCGTACAGCGTTAAATTCTTAAATATAGTTCTATAAGTTCGACCCTCGATTTTGAATCTTTTTGACAATTTCGCAAAAGCATAACGTACTCCCATGAAAGGCTGGTATATAAACATAGGCGTTACTATTATTTCTATTATTATTAGTATTATTATAATTATTATTATATAGAGGATATTTGTTTGTTTTGCATGTAAGATTGAAATATAATTTCACTGAGTGAACACCAGATGCAATATTTTCACGAGTGGCGTAGCCACGAGTGAAAATATAATAGCTGGTGTTCACGAATGAAATATATTTCAATCTTATATGAAAAACAAATAAATTTTCTTTTTATTTTATGCTTTTTAACTGATTTTTAGTATTTTTTTACTGATTTTGCCGCGTAATGTCGCGCATTCTCCTTTGTGACGTCATCACATCATGACGTCACATCATCAATATTGAAATATAGTTCTGTTATTTTAAAAATTTCTCTTATTTTGTTACATTTTTAACATGATGTATGGTGACGTCGACTTTCTTTTCCTAAAGAAGCAAAATTTACGCATGACGGCATTTGTTTCTGCCTGTTATTCCATTTAGTTATGATTTTCTTTTCATCCGCATTCAGATATAGTTCGGCTACAGTGAAAATTTTATTTTATAAATTTCACTACAGGTTTATCAGAATATAATCATTTGATATATTACAATAAAACACTAGAAAGCAAGTAATAGTATTATTATTATTATTATTAGTTGTTGTTGTAGTAGTCAATATATAGAGAATAACATGCTACTGTCTTTTGATATCAATTTTATCAGGCGAGGCTGACATGGGCTAGAAATGGCGAAGCTTGCCGAGCCCTTTCTGCCCATTATCCCCCATATCAGCCGAGCCTGATAAAATTGATATCAAAAGACAGTAGATCTAGCATGTTTTTCAATTTATCATGTAACACATAAAATATGTCAAAATTTCAAAATAATGTACTTTTAAATAGTGAATTTCTTAGAAAGGGGCATTTTTGTTCAAAGAAATAATTCTTGAAAACAAATTCCTCCGCCCCTGAAACTTAGAATTTGTTACATGGCGGCCATTTTTTCTTTCGACTCGAGATTATTTCCTGTGATAAAAGATACAACATAATGTAACACGATAAGATTTTTACCTTTCAGAATCGATCCAAAAAATCCTTAAGAATTACTTAAACTTTACAGTTTACTGCACTTTCTGCATTGAATTGTCAAATTCAAAAGTTCACGATAATTTCAATCAAATAAAAGTCAAAATCGACAATCAAACACAAGCTACACAAACATGCCTCTTATTTTTTGAACGAAACAATTTATTCAATTATTAAAGAATAATCCAGAGAAATAAAGTAAACATTTACAAGTTCTCAAGTCTGTTTGTTAGATCTATGTTTACATGTATAGTGTGACGTGAACATCGATGATGTCATTTGCAATATAAATTATGACGTCACTTCATTGAGTTGGTGCTAAAAGTATTCGCTATCTAATTTATTCGTAATTGAAATCGAAATCGAAATAATAAATGCATAAAATCGCATATTTATTCAAGACTTGTAAGGGTATGAGATTACATTGTAGAATTCACATGCTGATGATGTATAAGCAATTGAAAAAAGTCCGTTAAAATGGGCGGGGCCTATTTTTGATATCAGGTTACTGACCTGATATCAAAAATAATTATCAGGCAAGTGTTATCGGGCAGTTACCAATTTACCATAGCAGTTGCATGATAAAAATGAATTTCCATTGGTCATGTTTGCAATTTGCGCAAATGTTACATTACATGGAAAATATCGGGCTTTATACAATACATAAGCATAATAATAGATTTTTATCATGCAACTGCTATGGTAACTGCATGATAACACTTGCCTGATAATTATTTTTGATATCAGGTCAGTAACCTGATATCAAAACTAAGCCCCGCCCATTTTCACGGACTTTTTTCAATTGCTTATATTCTCATATTACCAGCATGTGAATTCTACAATGTATTCTAATACCCTTACAAGTCTTGAATCAAGATGCGATATCTATTTATTTATTATTTCGATTTCAATTACGAATAAATTAGATAGCGCATCAACTAGATGAAGTGACGTCATAGTTTATATTGCAAATGACATCATAGATGTTCACGTCATACTATACATGTAATCATAACAAACAGGCTGACGATTTTCTTTGAGAACTTGTAAAAGTTTACTTTATTTCGCCGGATTATTATTTAACAAGTGAACAAATTGTTTCTTTTAAAAAATAAGACGCATGTTTGTGTAGCTTGTGTTTGATTGCCGTTTGACTTTTGTTTGATTGAAATTATTGTGAACTTTTGAAATTGACAATTCAAGACAAACCTGCAGTAAAAAAGTTTATGTGATTCTTAGGGATTTTTTTCGATCGATGTTTAAAGGTAAGACTTTTATCGTGTTTCATTCTGTTGTATCTTTTATCACAGGAAATAATCTCGAGTCGAAAGAAAGTATGGCCGCCATTTACAAATTTAAAGTTTGAGGGGCGGAGGAATTTGTTTTCAAGAATTATTTCTTTGAACAGAAATGCCCATTTCTACGAAATTCGCTTTTTAAAAGAAGATTGTTTTGTAGTTATGACAGTTTTATGTGTTACATGATAAAAAGAAAAACATGCTACTGTCTTTTGATATCAATTTTATCAGGCTCGGCTGTTTTGGGCAGAAAGGGCTCGGCAAGCCTCGCCCTTTCTAGCCCATATCAGCCTCGCCTGATAAAATTGATATCAAAAGACAGTAGCATGTTATTCTCTATGTATTGAAAGTCAATTGACTTTAAATATATTTCATATTTTTTATTTAATAAATATATGAAATATAAATATGAAAGTGGGCGGAGTCAAAAGTCATATGAGCTGCGTCACGACAAAACCAATATAGTGCGTTTGCGACCAGCATGGATCCAGACCAGCTTGCGCATCCGCGCAGTCTGATCAGGATCCATGCTGTTCACTATCAGTTTCTCTACTTGTAATAGGGTTGGTAAGCGAACAGCATGGATCCTGATCAGACTGCGCGGATTCGCAGGCTGGTCATGATCCATGCTGGTCGCAAACCCATTATGTTGGTTTTGACGTGACGCAGCTCATATTTATTTTAAGGGACTTCTTTCGCCATTTTGTTTGAAAAATCTGATAAAACAAAACAAATTTTTGTTGAATTTGGCTTTGAAAACTATCTAGAATGATAGAAAATGTTATAACTAAGAAAATAAATCCGAACACAAATACCTTTACAGGGGCGTAGCTAGGCTGAAATCGATATTACACACTCTCAGGCAGGGGGTTAAGGAGGCCGCTTTAGGCCCCCTTGCAGGTCCAGGGCAGAGCCCTGGTAGGGGTCCAGGGGGCGAAGCCCCCGGAAGCTCATTGATTTTCACCATTTAGAGATGTTAAAATTATGCATTTTCATGTCCATTTAATGTCCATAAAATTACAAATGAAGTCAGAAGGAATTTGATATTATCATTAATAACTTTTTATGTAATGATATGACTTGTGTTAATATGTGAAGTGATTTAGAGAACGTCTTAGATATAATTGATAGATCGTATAATAATATTCCAAGGTACTTGATAAACGTTATATAAGGATATACATTGAATAAACAGACGTGTACGCTTTTACTAAGCAGCAAATAAAAGTGACAAAAAAGTGACAAACACATATTTATGTACAACAACGTCAGCCTAGATCACCCTGTCTCTATGGATCTGCAAAAGTCCTAAGTCAGAGAGGTGACCAGTGCTCATCGTTGAGCGCTAGAAAGTCTTTAGCCTTTTCAAGCTGATAAAGGAACGTTCAGCACTGGCATTGCTTGAAGGAATGCAGAGACTTGTTTACATTGGGAAGAAGCTCTGTCGGTATATCTTACAGCACAGATTCGATCTATAGTGGATGGAGCCTGCAACAGTGATATTTCGCACCGTGTTATAGATTTACTGAAAATAATGCGTTTCTTCATTTTTATTTTTTTCTCAATTGAAATATCGTTACTAACTAAAATCTAAAAATATTATCAGTTACTACGTATCGATGATTATTATCTTAAATTACTTTTGTCTGCTCAATGTTCGCGTAGCAGTCGAACTTCTTGTATCATCTCTGTTTCTTGTGCTATGATGAAAACAGTCGTTTATGGCTGTTATTTACTTATACGGCACACAACAAGAAAACTGATCTCTTTTTGGGCTAAAATGCTATATATCACACTGAAAATTGTCCTTCGCATTGTGAAAATATTGCAAATTTCCATTTCTCATTGTGATATCTAGCATACTCATTTATATACATGTATATATACAGGAAATTTTCGTTATTTGTTTGTTGTTTTTTTTTTCTTTCTTTTTTCCCCCCTAATTTATAAGAAAGGTAACATACATAATGCCATTACAATAAAACGCATAAAAAAATGTTTTATTATTACAGATACTATGATATATACATGTATAGGATCTCACATGAGTTGTCATTGATGTAAAAATATGATGTAAAACGATTAAAGAAAAAGTTACAAACCTTTGACGAGAGTTTAAGAATTTTTAAATAATGCCAACTAATGT